GAATAACTGTAGTAAAGGACAGCACCATATATTTGCTATACCCTTAGTTAATATGTACTTTTCTATTTTTATTGTAACTTTGTTTGGATGCAGAGATGTCACTCAAGTAAGCAACATAATTTCACACTTTGGCAGCACGTGGGACTAGATTCACTAAATGGTCACAAAGACTGTTTTCTTGCTGGATGTATAACTTTGATTTCACTTATTTGTCCCGAAATAAACAACTGTTTTTTGTTTGTTTTTCTGTTAGCGAATCGTGTACTAGCTTTAAGCTTCCATAAACCCGTGTTTCATCGTGAATGATTCGAAGCCACGTGGATGAGGTATGTGTTTAGAGCAGCCTGGCTTTGTTTATGGTATTTTAATTTTGGTATTTAAAGCCAGACTTTGTGCAGATTTCGACTTAGAGATCTTAAGTGATTGCATAAAATCTTTGCTGCATTTTAAGAACTGGACTTTATTTTAGTTTAAACTTGCAGAATTTTACTTTTATAATTTGATTTTCTTTTTCATGTAGCTTACAATAAATTGGTGAGAGAAAAATAAATGTTTAGTATCTGATTTTCTCGCTCTTAACAGTTTAACACCCTTAATACAAACAATTGTCGTTGTTTTGTGTACCGGGTTTGTCTTTGGCTGATTTTGTTATTAATAAAGACTGTTGTTTTGTGCATTTTGTATGTGGACTCTTTTATTGAGACACAGTCAATCAGTATTCAGGGAGTCACAAACTCGTACTCTGCAATTCAGTAGTTATCAGATCTTCTGTTTTGCAGACCCTACCCGTTTACTCAGCTGGAAATCCATGCACAAGAGAATATTACACAATTATAAGGTGAGATATACTTCCAAACATTAATTAAAGAGTTATCTTATTAAACAGTACAATAAACTGTAAATGTAATAATAACAATAAACTGTTAGTAATGTCTTTTTTCTAACAGGTTGTGATTTTCATAGCTTACCTATAAATATGGTATTTTCCACTTCATGTTTTTCCTTCAGAGAAGTCAATGAGGGCCTGCTTACTGGATGTTCTAAAGATACAGAATCATACTGTGTGTCTGTTTATTTTTCAGATCTCTAACTGAGTACATTATGAAGAAACAGTCAAATCATGGAAGGTGCACAATAATAACCTTTGTTTACATTACAAAAACATAATCACATTTACTATCGCAAGAGAAAACAGAACAGGAGCAAATGAGTATGTGGTGAATGTGTCAGACTGGCAATAAAGAGAAGGGATGTGAAACCTTTATGAGCTTTTTTTCAGTAGTCTAGTGTGTACCCCTGTATGTCAAATGAAAACTAAAAAAATCTAAAATAAAAATAAAATAGAAAAAGTTAGATTAAAGCTCAGTAAAATCCCAGTCTTAACAAATCAACCCAAATAAAGGAAAATCTTAATTTTATCTAAAACTATAAGTCTGCTAAAATTTAAGTTACAGAAAAATCTCTGCAAAATCTACTAAACAAAGGAGAACCTGGTTTTTAATATTTTTACGACAGCGGAAGTCACGTCATGAAATTCTCAAAGGATCTGGACTTTTCCTGGCAACTCTAGTCTGTTCTAAGCGCCCTCTTTTTTAGTATATAAGCCCAGCAAATAAAGCGGAGAAATAATTGCAGATAGATATAAAGAGAGATAATTGAGTCAAGCGAGCAGTAGGCACCATAAGTAAAGTGTGTGAATCGCTGTGGTTTATAGCGTGTGTTCATAAAAGTAGTCAAGTTTAAAGTGACTGTGGAAATTCTGTGTATTGCAAAGTTGTATCGAGAAAGAATAAACTAGTTTTAATTAAGAAAGGACTTGTATCGCTGAAGTTTCTCGGAAAGAATTTATACCGGAAATTAACAAACGACCAGATACGCAACAATATAAACCATGAGAGAGAAAGGCTTATGGAAACTCTTCAGGGTGACTTTCTTCACCAATTAATCAAGGATCCTACTAGAAACAATGTTATTTTAGATTTATTGTTAACTTCATATGTAGAAATGATCGAGAGGGTGGAAATTGGGGAACATCTGAGTGCAAGTAAACATTACTGTACTGGGTTCGATGTTTTGCTGCATATGGAAACAAGGAATAAGGACATTTTGGTTACAAATTTCAAAAATGCAAATTTTGAAGGGTTGCGACAAGAATTATCTGTTGTGAATTGGGTAGCCGAGTTATTTGGAGACACTGATCAGATGCGGAAAAGTTTTAAATATTCAAGGTGAACATGTTCCCTATAGAAAGAAAAAGGTAGCTGCAAGTAAAACACCTGGTGTGGCTCACAAAGAGTTTAAGAGATAAAATTAAAGAAAATCATAATACATTTAAGAAATTTAAATTGACTGGTATGACAGGAGACTTAGAAGATTATAGAAGATCAAG